GTCATTTCAATTCTGTCATCCCATAAACAATGCGTTGATCAATACCAAAACAAATATCATTGTCGTTGTGTTCATATGTGGCGTTTGTGAGCGCGATTTTCAGGTAAACGGTCAACTGGCTCTCAATCAAATGCGTGGTTTGGTTGTGGCATCGTGCATGGCACGGCACGGCACGGCATCGTGCACGGCACGATGCCGCAACCAAGCCCCGACGCCTTAACCAACATATTTACTAATACAGAGGATTGTGCCGTCCCGAGCAGTCTTTTTCTTTTCTTTTTTTCAGCCTTTCTCAAACGTATACGAATAGTTAAAAGTGAGCTCGATTCATCATTTCTGATGTTTGCTTCAAGGTCTTCAAATGTGAAACGTTCCCTGCAATTTGTCCAGGGGACAACTTCAACATTGCTAAATAAATACGCACCAGTCCAATCCTTTGAACTGTACAGACTTACCTTGAAAACGGTACAATCTTGATTTCGTTTTTTGCTGTTCGGTCCTCGCGGAACCCAGGTGGGCGGAAAGGGACAAGTGGCCTCATCTGTGCGTTGGAAATGTTCCAGTGACAAACCCTAAATACAGCTTGGAGTCTGTGGGGACCCATACATTTTGTTCCCTCATGTTACATATAATGCTTCGCATTTCAGACATATACACAAACACGCTCACACGTCCTGGCGTCACCGTTATACACTCGACATCGGGCGGGACGTGCACCAGTGGTTGACAGACAACAGCAAGGGACGCAGGCAGGGGACAGGGGCACCTCGGGACCGACCATCATGGGCCCGATCGGAGGGATCGAGCAGCCCAAACGGTCCATTGCAGGTTCCATTAAAGGAATTCAGCCCGCAAGGCATAAGCCCCACACGTCATTCCGGGGCCCTGCGCACCGACAGGGATCCTCTGGGGTAATGGGATTGCCGTAAGTGAGAAACCACAAATGCCTAACAATCGGCTCCGTGTCGGTCTGGGCTCGGGGGCCACTCCGCAATCAAGGACAAGGTTGGGACATGCGGTCCTCATTGAACGTCTCTTGAATGGTCGGAGTCCTCTTGAAGGGCTTCCTGTGCCAGTCAAAGGCATACGGTGTAGGGCCGGCAAGGGCCCTCGAGTTGGGCAGGACCACACTTCCTGAGCAAGGACATGGACGCCATCGCGAACGTAAGAAGGCCTCTTGTCCTGGTTGGAGCCCTCTGGCAAGAATATATACAAAATGACAATTAAAGGATCCACAATGAGACAATGAAACGGATCTGTTTCAGTCAGGGACCCCAGTTGTAGGTACCGAACACCTCGCTTTGTTTCAACCATGGACCCAATAGCTGAAATGAATTAAAGAGAGTAATTTACATATGGACACGAATGACCCATCGTGAGGCGACAAATGGCCACTGTCATTGTTTATTTGATGAAGTCATTTAATTACTGTTCGATTGCATTTTATTTCCTTCTAAATGTGTGATGACTGGATTCTTCTGGCAGCCGCTGGCTTCTCTTAGTCACAGAAGTTTAACATACAACTAAAAGAAAATTGACCTGAAAAAATTAAGTGGGTTGCATCCGACGCACCAAACCGGCTGAAGATAGTTTAACGTTTGGGAAATAAGGATCCGAAATACCGTTACCGATTGGCGGAGACTTTTTGTGGGGGAGAGCACCAAGTTCCAGGGGCGCCACAATAAAGCGTTGCACCTCGCTCCACGAAATCCTGTGTCCGCCTCGGAATGACATCGGAATACCGGCATCCTTACTGGTTTTACTTTGGGGCCTATGGTAGACAACAGCAGGTTAAGAGACAGTCACAGTTCTGACTAACTGCTTATCGCTGAGGACGCTAGCATCAACAAAAATAACGTGATTTTTCATTTTATTTTCGATTGCTTTCACGTGCAATCTTCGAAAAATGCACATGCTCAGGCGCCTGGACACAGCCGTCTTCTGCCTCGGCGTTGGTCCCGCAAAGCACCAGTTTTTCTGCTCCGGCTTCGGGTTCGGCTTCGCGCTGAGCCATTCCTACCTGCCGGTTCGGCTTTGCCTTTGTTGTGCTGCTTTGGCGCTGTGTTACCTGCTGAGTCGACATGTGTGGTGTGTATCATACGCCCTCTGATGGCATTTGGTCTTCTCTGCACCGTATATCCCTAAGGCAAAGACTTATGCAAATTTTACATGACTCTAAAATGGTTACATAATTGTTGAATTTGTTGCGGTTAACAAATCTTATGTTGTTAGACGTCTTTAAGTATTTTCTTCAATATTTTTTTCGGGTACAGCGGCCCCGAAAATTCGCGGGAAAACTTGTAGCCCGCAACATTACCAGAACGCGGTGTTTGGTGAATAACCCCGAGGGGTGGCACGTAGGTTAATAATCATTTACTTCCTTTTCTGCTTCCAGTTTTCCTTTTCAATACTTAAATGACGAAGTGGGAATAAGAAGTGCCAATTGGAAGTCATATTCCCGGCCTGCTGTGGGTGCTTAGCGTGGGATTCGCTGCGCCAGTTTGGGCAGGGCTGTGCGTCAAGGTGCGTTGAGACTTAAGCTTATCATGTTTATTGTTCAAGACATTGTCCTTGTTTGCCTGATATTTTCTTGGTTCTGATGAGTGCAATGTTAATGAACTGAATGCTTGCATTGCAAGTTCACATGGAGAGAAAAACATTGATTTCATTTGTTTTTTTGTTGTGTGGTTTAGGTTCCTTGCCTCGCTCCAAAGCTGTAAGTCACCCCCGATGTGCGCTAGAAATTATCAGAACCATGCTTGCAGCCTTTTAAATCTGTTTTCATAGTATTCTTAAAAATTAGCCTGCAGGTAGGTGATGGGCACTATTGCTATTAGCAAATTGCTTTGATACTCATGTGTTGTGAAAATAACCTAAACAGTCATAAAAATGGTATTCATTTTTGTGTCCGTCCCACCACAAACAATAACATCTTTGTTCCCAAGTACCATATAGTAACTCACTAGCAACTTTTCCCAGTTCAGTGCAGATACTGCAGGCCTAGTGCTTTGGTCATATTTGCTAAAACCACTTGTATCTTTTTGCAATGCTGCATCTTTGAATGTTGCTATAGTTCTGGGGCTTTTGTTACATCAATAAAACAGGCCTGGTGATATGAAATTGACAGCAAATATGATATGAATTGGTAAACATGCATAGTATATGTGAAAAACTTCATATAGTGCTCAGCAATAGAGATATGATCTCATGTTACATTTATATATTCCTGCTGCTCAAAACTACAAAAAATAGGTTTTAGTGTTCCCCATAACAATGGATGCACAATAGTGAATAACTTCTAATATGAAAGCATCATTCTAACCATGCATTTACAGGTTCAAACCACACCTATGTTCTACTCTAACCATTTTACACAGCATATTGCATGCTTCTCATTAGGTAGATCAAGGCTCATGTACTGATATGTTGGACCTTTCTAGCTGAAGCTTGTAAAGTTGCTCTTTTTTACTGCAGATAACAAGTTGTGTAATCCAGATATTTAGCCATCTTTCTGGCATCTTGGTTCCAGGTCATTAGAATGCTGTGAGGACTAACTGACCAGTGAAATGTGATTATGTCATTCTGATCATCAAGGAATTAGTAATAAAATGTATTCAGTGTTGTAAATATGCTTTCATAAAGTGATGTTGGTGTGTCAGACCATCTTTGAAAGCCAAGAGTTCCAGCTTAGCAGAGCTCTGGCATTGTCAAGGATTTGATTCTTTAATGACCATGACCATAGTTATCCTGATGATATGTGGCCAGTAAAGCAATTTGTCCTCAGTGCGAGGCCATGCTGTATACCCTTGCCCCAAAAGACATTATTAATATAGACAAGTTGTAGGTTCGGTGGCATATTAGTATGAGCGCCTGCCAACCATCCTACTCATGGTGGGATGGCTTGGTTTTTAGTTGGTATGCCTGCTCACTGGGATGACCTGAAAGTGGTGCCTGCACCACTTGGGAGTCAGGTCAGTTCAGAGGGTGGGATGGGCAGTACCAAGCATCACAGCATTACTTTCCCCTGGCAATCTTGCAGATGAGCTGGGATTTTATACTTTTTCTAAGCTTGTGGCATTACTTGTGGATTAATAATTTGGTTTGAATACCAAAGCGGTGACTATGTCTCTAAGCATTGTCACACATTAAAGGAAATGTTCTATATATGAAGACATAAAAGTGAGCTGATTATATTGATTATTCATTACATAGTCAATATAATCAAAGTGATTATATGATTATAATCATTATCAATATATGTACATGTATAATCATATTGATTATATGGTTATATAACTATGGGTATGCTTTTTAGTGGAAAAGGCTGCTCTAGACAACATGATCTCTGTTTAGCAAATATGATTTTTAATGCATCTTGTTTGTTTGTCATTGTACCTTGTCCAGTTCTGATCAATAGCCATTTCATGTCAGCGACATCTGGAAATCATGCTCATGAATGTCAGATTTGACAAACTTGACAGACATATTTTTTTGGCCTTGATCACTGCTTTGTCAGCGGAATGGTGGGGCATGAATGGTATTATTATGGCATCATGGATGCCTTGGTGACCTTGTCTTCGAAAAGATAAAACTGCATGCAAATGACTGGTTTGCCTATATGATAGGTATGTGATGTGTTTGGTGTTTTGTTACAATTTCAGTGATGGTACTCATATACTTCACGATGTATTCCATCATTTTACTCTGAAGCACACATGCAAAGCTAGTTGTCTTTTCCTATATGCCCTGTCAGCATATAATATCCATGCCACTGCATGGAACCACTGTCAGTATGTTGTCTGCCAGGAGTGCAAGACCATTTTGTAGTATCTTGTGTACATGTTTTTATCTGAATACACTCTGAAATCTGTTGCAGTGTTTGTTGCTCGCTCGTGCCGGCTCAGCGTTCGCCGCCCCACACGGCGATGAGCGACCGGTCGCCGGCGAGTGGCGCGCGGCCGTCACGTGACTCCTCCGTCTCGTCGTGGCCACGCCCGGACGCGGCGGCCGCCGCGCCGCGCCGCTCGCCGCGCAAGTCGGCGCGGCCGGCGCGCGTGCCGCCGTTCGCCGTCGAGACGGACCCGGTGGTGCTGTCGCGCCGCGAGAAGCAGATCGAGTACGGCAAGAACACGCTGTCGTACCAGCAGTACACGGCGGCGGTGCCGCGCGCCCAGCGGCTCGGCTACCACCCGCGCACGCCGGTCAAGCGCCGCCTGCAGAGCCGCCGCCGCTGGGACAACGCCGTCAAGTGCTGGCGCGTGCACCTGCACTACTGGAACGACCCGGTCAAGCTGGCTGCGCTGCGTGCCGGCGAGTCGGGGTCCGACAGCTCGTCAGTGTTGTCGGACCCGGCGGATGGCACTGCGGCGGCCGCGCCGCCACCGGCGCAGGAGCAGGAGCAGGAGCAGGAGCAGGAGCAGGAGGTTCTGGACTGGGCCGACGATGTGGAGGGCCTGGCGCTAGAGCTGGACGGATAGGCGAGGGACTGGAGTGAGGATGGGCCGCAGCGTGTAGGGGCTGTAGCGGGCAAAATGAGCCTCTGGTGAGACCAGACGTCCTGGCCAACTGGTGGCCAGGTGTCCCGGTACCAAAGTTGGCCAGATGTGACCAGTGATGACTGCACGAGCGGAGGCATTGCGAGCGATGATCCAGGATGAACCGTTAGGACCAACAGGGTCGTGGCGGTGTGGCGCCTTCGGTCCTGTCGCGCCGCACCTCTGGCGCAGCGACTAATCGTGGCTGCCTCGAGTGCTACTGCCGGGCATTTCTGCTGGGACGATCTCACGATACGTGGGCAGATGCTCCGATAAGTTTTGGTGCGATTGTCGTAGAAAATTGCTGACCCGAGCAGTCCAGACAGAAAACGAATAGCAAGCAGTGACCAGTGCATAGTGACGAGAGTGTTGCATGCGGGTGCACTTTGTGTGTAGTCATGTCGTCGAATGTCGTTACCATTCTAGAACGTCTGGTGAACTTGTGGCCTGATTTTCCACGGCCGCATCACCGACGTACTCTGCGAGTCACACGTTTGTCATAACGCTCGCTGTTCGCGTGGACGCGAGCCTGTACAATTTGCTAGAGTACGTGTTACATGCAAGCTCACAAGCGGTGATCAAGTCAGGCCGGCGTTTACCTAAGAAGCTCTAAGCCGTTCACATTGCAGGTCTTGCCTAACTTTGTTCTACGATTCTTTTACCTTCACACCCAAGCCTGGTTGCTGTGCGTTGGATGCTCATGTTCCGCGGGATTTGGAGCGAATTACTAAGGAAATCGGCTCCATTTACGGTTTTTAGTTGGGATGTGATGTGTTTGTCGACGAATTTACTTGCCTTAGTGTATTACGGACGGTGCGTGTCGTTCTGCGAGACCTGTATGCGCGTGTTACAACACGACTTTGTGATTTCAACCTAGCTGGTGTTGCTTGAGTCTTTATGAATCGTTGCAACTGCCTTTCATTTCAATACAAGTAGTGGTTGTTTATGATGTTACTCGGATCCTATAACAGTTTTGCAAACAAGTAGGGTGTATCCTGGATGCTTTCGCAGAGCCCTCACAGTCCAGAAGAAAATTCTCTTGTTCTCGCCGTTTAAATCATGACAATGGTAAAGGCACATCCTGCAAAATGCAGAAAAAGGTATCCCAGGCATATGAAATTATTCCGTTGGTGCTCCGGAAAAAACCCACTGTGCTTAACGCCATAAGGGTGAAATCAAAGCCATAGTGTAACGTTTCGTTGGATTCGCGAGATAATGGCCTGGTGTTTGCATGTGTGCATTTTCTCTGAACGTGGTGTTTCAAGCTTTCTTAACATTTAATACCCAATCATCCTGGCAAATCAGCGTGGGTGCGGCAAGCATCCCAGCGCACGCGCGTGGGAGGATGCGGGACAAATTTGTAAGGAGAGCAGGAAGTCCAGTAAGATTCCCCCGACGGCTACTTCAAACAAATTATGAGCTATCAGATGTCACGGATCACATCGAACTTGTCTGATCTAACAATAAGTAAACTGTGCAAAGAAGGTGGCACACCTTAAAAGCCCAATCCCTACCGTAAGAAACAAAAATATTGGATTGGTGCGATCAAACCAGTCCGATTAATCCAATCACATCTGACTGAGTGTATGTAATCCTGGACCGGAGGGGAGAGTTACCACACCAGCCAGGCAGAGGCCGCACAGAAGGTCATGTACGCTGGGGATGGCCGAGCTAACAGCCGCGGCTTCTCAGGCCGTTGGCGGTTCTGGCTCGGCCCGTCACTCGCTGCCTGTCACCGTTCTGTGTCAGATGGAGGCCGGGTGTCGGCTGCGGGAGTTCTGGACAGGACTGGCGCCGGCCTTTCCGGATCCGGCCGCTCTGATGGACGTGGCCGACCCAGACGAGAGGGCCCTCACCATGCTCCTCAAGACGCTCTACGTCGTCTTCAAAGGTAAAAACAGGTCTACTTCTTGCTTGTGGCACCGGGGAGTGCTGGACAATTGGTAGAACGTGGTTCTGGCTTGGTCCGTCACTCGTTGCCTGTCGCCGTTCTTTGTCGGATGGAGGCCGGAATCATTTTATTTTTATTGACGAAACATCAAATGTCTCGTAGCACATGCAAGCTATATTTACGTATTGGCTTCTCGCGTCCGCTCGTTTTGCCGTTGCGTCAGAATCCGCGAGGAAAGTTCCTCGTGGTCTGTGGGCGCCGGTATTTCCCCGGCCGTATCCTGTCGCGGTGCGATAGGCGCAAAATGACCACTGAAGTCGACACGCCTTAAAGCCCCGATAACCGGCTGCAGTGCTATGACTGACCTGGCGTCATTCGCTTGTAGGGGTGCTGGAGGAGCGTCACCGGCTGAGCTGCGCCCCAAACGCGCCCTCCTCGCCCTCCCAGGTCCAGCCCAGCCAAGCGAGCGAAGCCCACTCCAGCCAGACCGTTACAGAGCTGTGAGTGACCGCCGGCCACGGGGGATGTTTGAAAGCGGCGCAAACGCGAGATCGCACATGCTGTGGACAATTCTGAAGAACGGAAATTGAAAGTAATTTAGGACCTCGCATGCGCGGTGCACACGCATCTTTATCCTGGTAGGCAGATCCACATTTTGCCGATTTCAGGTCACTTGGTGGACAAATCCATATTCGCGCCGACATTGTTGATGCCTTACCAACAGGAGGCGAAGGTTCAAAACATCCATCGGTAAAATTTTGCTGGGCAGAAATGAGAAAAGCGTTCCCAATAACTGTGTATTCCACCGTACTACCCGGCAGTCATTCTGTGCACGCCCTCATTGCACGTGATTCACTGTGACCAGCGTCTCTCCCGCAGCGCCGACGTCACCTCCTCGCCGACGTCGCCAGCGTCGTCGCCGCTCTCCCCTCCGGCAGTTCTGGTACCCGAGACCGTGGACGCCTCGCCCCGGCGCACGTGGCAGCAGCCCGTGCCCGAGACAGCGCCGGCCGTGCTCTGCCGTTCTCCTCCGCCGGCCGTGCTCGCGCCAGAGACGGCCGAGCCATTGCCGCCGCAGCCCGGCTGCCGGCCGCAGCCCGTGGCGGAGACGGCACCGCTGACGCCGCCGCGTCCGCCGCCGCTGGACGCGGGGAGTCCGGTGCTGTCCGGACGTGGCTGCCTCGCTGGCGCCAGCGACTCCGGCGGCAGGGGCGGTCGGCGCCGACGCCACCGTCGCCGCCGCCGCCCCGCCGCCGCTGCTGCCGCGTTTGCTGCCTACGGCGGCGAGTCTGGCCGGCCGGCGGCGCCGCCACCGGCCGGTCCCTGCGCGGAGTCCCCGCTGCTGCTGACTCAGCGACCGCTGGGGCTCCACCGCCCGCCCGCGGAGCCCGCCGACGCAGACGGAGGCCGGCGCGGGGACTGGTCACGGGGCGCCGCGGACGAGACGTTCTTCGAGACGTCACCGGGGCGTCCGGGGGCCGAGTGGGTGGCCCGAGAGGCGACCGGTGGCGAGGCGGGCTGCCGCGGGCCGGATAACTGCGCCCAACGTGTGCCGCAGATAGGCCCGCCGCCGCTCTCCGCAGCCGGCGGTGGAGCGAGCAACCTAGCCACGCCGAAGAAAAGGAAGTACATCATCATCAGTGCGAACGATCCCTACCCGCCGCGAAGGTCGCGGATAGCAGCGCCGGCTTCTCCGAGGAAGACGCCGGTGTCGACTCCACCCGCGTCTCCGGCACTGCTCGCGCCGCAGAAGAAAACCGCGGCTCGACCCGATGCGTGCGTCGACTTCAGCCGCCGTCGCCTCGAGCGCTGCGCAGCTCGTGCCACCTCTGGCAGGGGGAGCACTGTCGGCGGACTCCGCCGGGTCTGCACCCGTCCCGAATGCTGATCTGTCGCCTGCCGAGTCGCTGTTGAAGCTGGACGAGTTGATGGACGAGCTGCACGATCAGCCGGGGGCGCAGTGGAGCCAGGGAGAGGCCGAGGGCGAGCGCGGAGAGGGCGCGAACCATAACCGGGACGGCCGGCTGCGTGCGGCGACGGCAGCCGCTGCGTTGAGACAAGGGGCCTCCTCGCCTCTTTCTCCAGGGGCGTCCTCGCCTTCCCCTCCGGGAGGCTCCTCGCCTCCTCCTCAGGGAGCCCCCTCGCCTATTCCGGGAGCCTCCTCGCCTCCTGCTCCGGGAGTCTCCTCGCCTCCTCCTCAGGGAGCCTCCTCGCCTCTTCCGGGAGTCTCCTTGCCTCCTTTAACAGTGTCCTCGCCGCCCCCTCCGGGAGCCTCCTCGCCTCCTGCTCCGAGGGCCTCCTCGCCGCTACCGGCGGAAGGGGTAAGCTGTCAGCACGAGTCTGTCCGGATGGCGGCACGTGGTGCCTCTTCCCAGCAGACCGGCGAGGCACTGATACAGTCCCGGGGCGGCGCTGAGGTCCCGGCCCGGCCAGCTGATCAGAAGTTACGTCAGTCGCAGGACGACACTGAGATCACCAGGTGAGCTCAGTCGGTCCTGCCGCAGCGCGCTGGTCAGCCAGTGGTCAGTGGCTCGGACGGCCAGTCGTTTGTTCGCGATAGCCAGTTAGTAAACTGAGGTAGGGAACCAGTGAGAAGAACTTTCCAGTTTCAAGGCGGTTAGCAGCAGAAAGCAATTAGCAGTAAGCGATCAGTAGGTACCAGTGAGCCGATGCGCAGTTGATACAGCTCGTCTTTCACTAGATAATTCGTCTGAGGTTGTGTTCACTAGCGGTGAGCTTGTGAGAGAAGTGAGCCATGTATACGGCACGTTATTTGCCCGCTTATGCGGAGTGCGCAGTTGTGTTATCATCATCATGTTCAGAAGTGTTACATTGTCATTGCTGTTACATGTCGCATTACATATTACATACTTGTGGTATCGCTGTTACATCTAGCATACTTCTGGGTATCTGTTTTATGGGTAAGGCTAGGGGATGAAACTTGAAGATTAGTCATTGATGGTCTCGCCGAGGTGACCGGCCCCTGACCTGACCCGCAGCCCGGTGTTTGGTGACCAGCCGTCGGCCGGCCCGGCCTTCCGGTATGACCAGGGCCCCGTCCGGCGCAAGGCCGACCGACAGAAGCTGCCCGGCTGGGCCTGCAACCTCTGCAAGGAGGTGGGTGTCAGGTCCGGTCAGGGCCTGCAACCTCTGCAAGGAGGTGAGTGTCAGGTCCGGTCAGGGCCTGCAACCTCTGCAAGGAGGTGAGTGCCAGGTCCGGCCGGGGCCTACAACCTCTGCAAGGAGGTGAGTGTCAGGTCCGGTCAGGGCCTGCAACCTCTGTAAGGAGGTGGGTGTCAGGTCCGGTCAGGGCTTACAACCTCTGCAAGGAGGTGGGTGTCAGGTCCGGTCAGGGCCTGCAACCTCTGCAAGGTGAGTGTCAGGTCCGGTCAGGGCCTGCAACCTCTGCAAGGAGGTGAATGCCAGGTCCGGCCGGGGCCTACAACCTCTGCAAGGAGGTGAGTGTCAGGTCCGGTCAGGGCCTGCAACCTCTGCAAGGAGGTGGGTGTCAGGTCCGGTCGAGGCTGCCCGGCTCGGCCTTCAACCTCTGCAAGGAGGTGGGCGTCAGGTCCCGCCGGGGCCTGCATGTGCTAGTTAGCTCTGCGGGAAGGGGAGGTGAGTGGCAGCTCCGGCCGGGGCCTTCATGTGCTCGTGAGCCCTGCAGGACGAGGAGGGCTTGCCCAGCGTGTCTGCTTTTTATGTGTATAGTGAGTAGGTGTAGGGCGGCACCCGCATGCAACCTTGAGGGGAGGGCTGTCTGTTGTCTGGGCCATAGGTGGGGATTTACCCTTTCTTGGTTGTGGTTTGGGTCGCCTCGGAAACGGAATGTCCAATTTAGACCGACTGTATCGGCGCAGTTTCCAAATAACTCGAGATGACGTTCACGCGTGGTGGTGACAGGAGTTGGTAGTGTGCAGCCATACCCACGGGCCGATACCAACAAGCTTGTTAAACTCCCCGCCATCGATGACCTGCTGTGGCCTTGCCTGTGACTGACTGCGGACCAGACGGGAGCAGTGCTGACCTGCTATGGCCTTGCCTGTGACTGACTGCGACCAGACGAGGGCAGTGCTGACCTGCTGTGGCCGTGCCTCTGAATAGACGAGAGTATTGCTGACCTACTGTGGCCGTGCCCGTGACTGACTGCGGACCAGACGAGAGCAGTGCTGACCTGCTGTGGCCTTGCCTGCGACTGACTGCGGACGAGACGAGAGCAGTGCTCCTGCGGCCGGCGACGCTGCGGCGGGGTCGGGTGGTGTGACCGGTGTCGTGTGGCGCGTGCTTCAGTGGTACGCGGACAGGGGGTTCTCCGAGTCCCAGCTGCGGGAGCACATGAACCGGTGCAGCCGCCACCGACAACGGGAGCCGCCACCTCCGGACACGCCGCCAGGTCAGGTCACGTCAGGTCACGCACCACCGCCGGCTACGGTGCTTGCTCGGGCGGGTCAGACGCCGTCTGTCACGCGACCAGGTCAGGTAAGATCCGCGGAGGCCATACACCTCAGGACACGCCCCCGGGTGAAATCGGACCTCGTGACACGGTGGCACGCGCCGCCGGTGGCGCACTATTCGTAGGCAGACGCCGGCCGTGACCTGCTGCATGTGGTATCATAAGTGACCACGCCACAACGCCTCGCGCGGTGCCTCTCCTAAGCGCTGCAGGAGTCACAGACAGTTCCGGTAATAAAAGCGCACTTGCGCCGCAATTGGCGGCACTTTCAAGATCGGCGAGATTTCGCGAATTCGTCGCGTGATCCAGATTAGCCACAGGGGACCCGGAAATTCCGCCCGGCAAGCCCTTATCGGATTTCCAGCAGCGTGATACTCTGCCGCTGTCATTTTTAACGATGATGGTCTGTAGGATGACACGGCACTTTTCGAACGCCTCCATGATGTGGAGGACTATGCCGCCCTCGCAACACAGCCGTGCGTGGTGTGGGTCCCTGCAGGGCGCCTTCTTTGGTGCGGCTGACATGAGAAGGGCAGCTGGTGTGGGGAGGCTGTGTTAAAGCAGTGCGCTGGCCCGGGAACATTCCTGCATGGCAAACAATGCAAACAGCAGTATTTCATGAGCTGGAACGGTGAAACTGAGATGGCGGATCCAGGGTACACGCAACAAGCTCTGCTTCTGGAATACTTTTGGCCACCTACACAGCCGATTCAAAGTGCATTTCTGAACGAAGCCACCAACCTCATGTCACTGAAACACGAGCTGCGCATTTATATTTGTCCACCATCTATAACCATTACCACACCCTCACCATGACCGACGTGTGTGGGGTATGCCCTCCCGCTGCCTATTAACTCGCCTTGCCCGCACTCTACCCACCCGCTGACGTACTCACCGGTCGCCATGTCTTTTTCGGAGGATTTAGTCGGCTCGAACCTTGAAATCGTCGCACATGATGACTGCAAGCGTTTTGGAAGGCCACTGTATGATGGGCCGAGTTCGGGGTACTTCATACAGGGCCGCTTAGAGCTACGTGGAGTTGTATAATTACATGAAACTATACAGAGCTATATAGAGCTGAACGTCTGGAATCCTTACAGTTGTCAAGGATTAGAATGCCGGGTGGATGGCTAAAATGGCTGACGACAGGCCAGCTGAGTGGTCCAGATGTCATAGTTAATTGTTCAGTCCCAGGTATACGAGCTGCCCCGCTGGTGGTGTGTCGTGACAGGTGTCGCGGAACACTCGCCCGAGTGGCCGGCTGGATAACGTTTGCTCGGGTGGGGAGTCAATTAGACCCGCCTGAGATCTCAGGAACTAAGAGAGCTAGAGACACCAAATGTACAGGATGTGTTGGTCTGTATGTGAACTCATTTAGGTCAAAGTTTGAGGTTTCTAAGTCATGGCCCTCGGGTCAAATAGGGTCAAACAAGGTCAAACTTCAGATTGGTCTCCAAATTGCCCCGGGAACCTAGATACCTAATATGAGCAAACGGTCACTCATTTACGGTTAGTGACCTTGTTTGACCTTTTGAAGGTTATGGTGACCAAAATTATGTAAGACTGTTTTGAGTTTCGCAGTGGAATAAGCGACAAATATCACGTTGGGCCGTACGCTCCTAAAAACAAAATGTTGGCACGGATCATTCTCAGTCATTGACTTATTCTGACCTTTGAGAAGCCCATGGAAGGTGTAAAGTGCGGTACCTGTTATCGATGAATGCGGAATGAGCATCGAACTACTTCATACAGCAAACCCAAGGGTGATAAAACAGGTTGGTCTTGACCTTGGTCTGACCTCATACTTGGAATTTATTTATTCAGTTGTTGTGGGGCCTACGAAGGTATCTTAGAGATGGGCGGTTTCATCTAACACTCGGTTGTTGCATCAGACTGAACGGTTCCTATAAATGAACTTCGCTGAAACCATGGCCTGATTTTGACCAGCCGTAATTCAGCGGCCTTACAAGGTAAATCTAAATTGTTGACACCAAACGATCCGCTATTCATTTGTCTACAGCTGTGCACAGTTTGGCGCGGCTGCGCCGCGCCGCTCGAAAACCATTATGGAAAAGCTTTCGGGGGGGGGGAGGGTGTCAATTTGACCCCGCCCGAGCGCGTGTTAAGGCTTTAACGCCGCATCAAAAGACGTGCACGCGACTGTCAGCACCGCTTCTGGATATATGTGCGGTTGCCAGGGGTTCGCACGGGCCGGGGTACCCCCCACCACCAGCGCCTCCATGCGGACGCGACGGTGGCTCCCCCATAGCTCCTCCACGAGCTCCGTCCGTCCCCTGGCGTGTTCTTCCCTGCCCCGGCTGCCGCTCGGCCTGCCGTCGCTCAGAGGACGGCGCGCTGGCGGCGTGCGGGCGCCTATTTCGAGCGGCGTGCGGCGCCGAGCGGCCTTGACGCCCGGCGCGCGGTGCGTCGGCCTCGGCCGGCTGGCCGCCGCAGCGCCAGGTGCCTTACCGAGCGGCGGCGCGAGCGAGGTTGACGTGAACCTAACTCAAAATATGCCCCTGTGTTTCTGTGGTGTTGCCTCAGATAACCCTTTTCTCGACTCTGTTTTCCCAAGCAGACAGGATGGTGTTATATATATATATATTATATATATATTATATATATATATATATACACGTATATACAGAGTTATCACAGGGCTTCGGGGATTCGAAGTCGGTCATCTTTAGATATGATAGGCACCAGGCTTTACCTACCTCTGCCGTTTCTTGTAACTTAAGCCAAGTCTGTGGTCGGATGGCAGTAAGCTGCTTAACAACATCACTGGCGGGCGAATGAAAACATCGCAGAGGTGAAATCAGACTGTTTTGCCACTAAAATAATGTGATTTAAGAGAGTGCAGGGGCTACAGGCTTCCCTAACTGGGCTTTCAACCTCCTTCCCACACTTGGGGTAAAGCTCCCCCCTCAACTCCGAGAGGCATTTGTGTCCCGTTCAATTGAATATCCTTTTTTGTTGGCGCTTTTTGGGATGGGAGTAAGTTTTGTCATAAGTCATTGCTCAGCCCTCCCTCACTCATCATGTTAAATCACGCCCCAGGCCACAGATAGGCAAGAAAACAGTTGAAGTCGGCACGTTCGGGCATTAGCGCGCAGTCTAAGTTTCATACTGAAGTGGCCGTATTCAGTTTGTTATACTGCCTAGCATATCTACCAGACAAGCTCCGTACCAAGCCCCCCTATGGGGGGCTTGGTACGGAGCTTGTGGCCTATGGCCTCATCTGATTGTTTTGCAGTTCTTAGACGAAATTTACTTAAGTGAAAAACAAACTTTGGCTCACAATAACTTCTAAGTTGAGATGTCTAAATGTACATTTTTTCAGTCAGCGTCTGAACTTGTATTGCACACCAAGTTTCGCCTTCAGTCGAGTGTGATCCTGAAATCCGTAAACGTGTCTTTAACGCTTGTTATACAGCCTGGGAAATTTTAGTTACGCAGCTATTGGTTCATCGAAATCCAAGTGGCCGTCCGGACTGTTGCCTGCGGAATATGCTTTTATTAATATCTGGGCAAGGGGATCGCGCTAAACGTGAGTATTGCTATTTATGCATTCAGATACGATTAATATTCCGTTAGGTTGGCGAAGACCTTGAAACCGATCTCAGTTGTGCCAGAGGATATTTGCCACCTTTAGAACTGACGGAAGCATGAATAACGGCGCAGGCCGGTTCTGAGTGGAACGAGAAATGTTGACAGTCGTTGAAGTTAAAACTGGACACCAGAAGTTAGGAAACTGCTATCGTTTAGATTGCACGTTTAAGATGAGATGCACGATGCGATTTATGCAACCCTCGGGCTACACCACTGATGTGCGTGCGACTCACGTACCTGTGACGTCATAGGTAGCAATTTCGAGACGGTGACTGGCAATGAGGAGCGATCTTCTGTTCAAGGTGGTGAACTAAAATACACGCCGTAAAGTAGAAACATGTCATCACTGCCGTGCACACTGCTATGTTAACAATCCATGCTGTCTACTGAAACCCGTCAAACCACCAAGTCAAATTATCTTTCTCACTGCATCACCAGGCACGGCGATAGGTTAGGTCATATCAGAACATTCGCTCAATTGAATACCAGGTCAGTTCGGGGTCGCGAAATCAATGTGCGAACCACGATGTCAGCTCGAGGGCCGCGGTGGAATCCGATGGCACGCCGTCAAGCCTGTTCCTGGGGGAGTGTGTTTGTGGTGCCAACGGATGGCACCACAAGTTAACAGCAGCTTTTAGAGTGTTGATGTACCCTATGCTTTAGTCGTGTTAGTCAACATACAGGTCGCCAGTCGAGCCTGTATGAAGTGGCGTATGGGAATGTTGGCACTGCCCCGCCGCGTTTGACGTGTTTTTGTTTGGAAATGTTGGTGTTCCCCTGTCTCCCTTGTCGGTGTTAATCCTGCCTGACTGGAAAGTCGGCTTACTACAGGATATTCTGGAGAACGGACCGACATAAACATCTCACGGGCAGCGCTCTGCATGATGTTTGGTGAGGCTCTGCTCCTCATCTTCCAGCCTACTACCGTAGCGCTTTTATGTTGCTGCTTTGCTGGTAGCGTGAAACACCACTCCTCAATCCTCAAACATGCTGCTGCTGGCATTGTGCGTGACACCACTCCCTGTGTGCCCACCGGCGTGTTGCAGGCTTCTGGGACCCACTAGCCTTCCCGTCCATGGACACCACCCAGTTCGGCGTGGGCCTCCGCTCCCGGACACGCAGGAAGCTGTGAGTGCCTCCCGCTTGGGCGGCCCGTGCCGGAGTGCCCGTCCACTGGCGCTGGGAGTGCTCGAGCTCCGCCGCTCGTTACGAGGAGCCGTGCCGGTGTTGCGCCGCCCCACGCTGGTTGGTCGTGACCAGTGGTGAGGAGATTCCCCGCCTGCGCTGGTTGGTCGTGACCAGTGGTGAGGAGATTCCCCGCCTGCGCTGGCTGGTCGTGACCAGTGGTGAGGAGATTCCCCGCCTGCGCTGGTTGGTCGTGACCAGCGGTGAGGAGATTCCCCGCCCCGCGCTGGTTAGTCGTGACCAGTGGTGAGGAGATTCCCCGCCTGCGCTGGTTGGTCGTGACCAGTGGTGAGGAGATTCCCCGCCTGCGAGGACGCACGGCCAGTCGACGCGTCAGTGCACGACTCGCCTCGCGCAGAGGCCGTCGTGGCGCTGAGATTGATTATCTGCCATCGGGCTCCCGTCGATTTGTATTCCGCCGTGGCCGCGTACCGGGTGCCGTGGGCGTTACACCGTCCTGATGATTAGTCATGATGGAAGGGTAGCGGACGTGCGGAACCAACTGCGTGCGTGGCAAAATGTTTTTTTCTTATGCGTGAGTAAAATCGATCGTGAAAGTGCATGCCCTCTTCTCTTGTCCGTTTAATTCTCATGTCAACCATCTTCTGTAATTTGTGTCAATTTGTATGCGCCATCCTCATCCTGGATCAGGTTCGGAGGATGGAGACGCATGCTCAGCATCGCACTACAGTTACGGCCTACTTTCCAATAACCTTACATTGGCTGGTGTATCAGTGCCTCCCAGCAAGCATCACGGCAGTGCTTCCGAGTCGTCGTGAGACATTG